GTTTGAATTTTTTGGGGTTTGGTTGGTTTGGGGTTTTTTTTGTTTGTGGGGTTTTGTGTTTTGGTGGGTGGGTTTTTGGTTGTTTGGTTTGTTTTTTGTTTGTTGGTTGGTTGTTTTTTGGTTTGGGTTTTTGGGGTTTTGGTTGTGTGTTTTAGTGTTTTGTTTTTTTCTGGTGAGGAGTTAGACATTCAATAAGCCCTTGCTGCTGAAGATTAACTGTAAGGCTTCACCTGATACATGTACATGATTTATTTTGCTCTAGCTTTGTAAGGTTTGAAGAAACTTCCATTACTAAGCAGATATAATAATTTTTGATGTACATATTCTATTTTTGTTCAAAATAAAAAAAAATTGTCCATTTTATGTATTTTTATAACTGTATAAAACAGGAAGAAGTAATTGAAAAAGATATGTAAGCTATTATCAGTTTCTTTTTTTAATAAAAATCAGTTTTCAGAAGCTGTGAGAATACTATGCCATTTTGTGGGTCTCTTGATTTTTTTTTTCCCTGTTACCATTCTTGGCTCTCTCACCTCTTCTGGATCCAATGAAAAAAGTTTTTAGGCCATCAAGGTCAAGTAATGTAAATGAAATGTAAATGAAGTAATAGGATTTCAACATATGTGGGCTCAGAAAGAAAAGCAGCTGAACCTAAGATATTTAATGTGAGATATTTATGACTAAGATATCAGAGTATTGATACCCCCATTCAAATTACTGTTATGAAAATAGAGATACTGTGTCTTAATTGAGGTAATACAGGTCTTGTAAGAGAGATGTATAAGCTGAAACAGTTTTGGCCAAAGAAGAAGCTGCTGCAGGTTGATCATGAATAAATCTAGGGCCCAGGTAAAAAGAAGAAAGTTCTAACCAGAAGGATTCAGGCACAACCTCTTTCTAAGAGTTGGGGAGTAAAAAGATTCAGCTAACCTTATGTCGCAGTTGTTTAAATGTATGAACAGGATTACCCTTGGTTATCTTCTTAATGGGGTAAATGTTACTTGATGATCTAGGAATTCCCTTTCATTCTTGCTTCCCCTGAGCTCTTGTAGTGAAGAGAGTGTTATGATTTGATATTTACTTTCCACATACCCTCCTTATATCCTTATATTGTAAGCTAATGGTAAGATTTTAAAAAATCCCATGTGTTGAAATCTGAATGTAATAATGCCTTGTTGAAATAGCCTGATAGGTTCATACTCTTGAGAGTTGATGCAGAAACTAGGTAAAATGTGTCATGGAATTTCTCATGAGTGAACCTTTGCCCCAGATAGCACAGCTGTTGGTGTGCATCAGATTACCTAGTTATGCAATGCTGTAGATACCTTCTCTTTGCATTGTCACATGCTTCTGTAGCTATATTTTGGACTAGTACAGATTTTTATCTCAAGGTAACAAACCAGTAAGTAGTTATCACTTACATACAGGCTATTAACATAAAGTGAATTAATTTTCTCAAGAAGATAAGCAGAGTCTTTGATTTATGCTAGTCCTTTAGGAAAACATGGATCATATTGATGCTGGGACCTAGAAGTAGATTTTATGGTGTTATTTTTCATGACTTACTGCTGTGTAGCAACACAGTAGCATAGTTCTGTTTTCACCACAGTAATAGTTTCTATTGATTCAATAGGTATGTTGCATACCTGCTCCTGAAAAGTGAAAAATCAGCTCATGAGCCTCATCAGACAATTTTAGTTAAGAACTGCAATGTTTTTAGATTGTGAAAGCATTTCTGCAACATATCCAGTGTCTTCCTTGCTCATAGTAAGTCACACAATTTTGACTAACTGCCATCAGCCCAAGATGTGTGTGATGGATTTTACTTTCCCCTCCTTGCTTTCCTGGCTTTTTATAATTCAAGAAACTGGACGTTTATTCAGGCTGTCAATGAAATGCTGGACTTTCAGTTTGAAACAGACCAACAAAAACCACAAACAACCCAAAACAGTAAAAAACCACCTCCACAATTTTTCTACCATTCCCTCAAGTCTGTGGAGACCTTATCTATACTTTTCTTTCTTTCATACCCCCTGGTTGTAGTGCTGTGGGCTCTGATAATCTGGATGGCCTCTGAATCATCTTATTCCATGTATTCAGAGAGGCAGCAAAGCCCAGGAACACCTTCCCATCTGCCTGCACGCTCCCATGAGCACCTCATTCAGTGGCGTCAGGAAAGCTGAAGTGTATAGGTACCAGCTGAGATGAATTATCTCAAGATACTGAAAAGAACTGATGGTGTTTCAGTTTTGGAACATATTGATAGTAACAAAAGGTACAATGAATATTTTTTTTAAATAATCACTAGAATGCAGAAGTGTGTTTACTGTCACTCCAGTTGTACAGAAGTTATGTGAATTTCAGTGTGAATTTCAGGAACCTGGAGACTTGGTGTTTTTATTGCAAGTGATTCCAACAGATAGTTGGTTCTAAAAGCTGTGAAGAAAACTAAGCTGCTGTTCTGCATAACTGAAATACCTGCTTTTGCTGACTGAGCTAGGGCTCTTTATTTATGCTGAAGAAAACTGCTGCTGTTCTAAAAGCAAATTTTCTTTCTTTCTGCAGCTCTCCATTTGGCTCACAACAAGCAAAATGAAAAGAACTTAGATTCGTAGAGAAAATAAGCTAACAAAGAAGTGTCCTGGTATTTCTGCTTGCTTTTTAAATGCAAGCATTGTATGTTCCTATCCCAAGAACTATAGAGACTTGAAATAACTTCATAGTTGCTTTCCAAAGTACTTACACTTTGTAAATGATTTAGTTACAACCCCTCAAAATGTTAAGATATAAAATTAAATGTCTTGGCAGTCATTTATGAATAAATCTCAGCTGTTAGTACTTGACATGTTTATTGTTGGTCTTGTGTTTGAATAGGAGGATGGAATGCTTTTTCCCTCCCTTACAGATGAAAGCTACTCTACAGCTTTAAAGCAACTGTTGTTGCAGGGTAGAGTGTTGCAAATTTTATGCCCTTAATGAAAAATATCGGAAGTTGGCTTACGCTTAGCTATGGGCTGATTCTGTATCGCGTGGTCCAACCATGCTGCTTTTAAAATTAAGCTTCCTGCTTGCCTAGTTAAGATATATCTGAGGAGGAGACTTACTGTTCCAGGGGGACAGGTAATTAAAGTTCTCAGTCACTTAAATAAAGATTTGTGTAAATCACTAATGGGATTAGCATCCTGAGCTGCACTGCATTAGAATGTTGTGCAGTATGGACCAGACAGCTTTTGCATAAATATTTACCTTGTACTTCCAAAAGTGTTTGACTTACAGGTTAGTCTATATTGTCATATTTTTCCTCTTCAAAATAAAGCCTGTTTTAAAAACACTTGTTTTGAATTCTTCCCATTTCAGGGAGCTCTCATGTATCTGCATAGGATGATGTGTCTTACCAAACTGCAAATTAGACTTAATTTCAGTGTCTTGCAACTTGTACGGCATGGAAAAAAAAAATTTAGACCTTACAACAGATAAAAGTAGATGCTCTTAGAAAAACTGAACTGTGAGCGAGCTACTTCATTGGAGTCTGTGCCTTATGCCTGTCTTGTCCTTAAGGAAAGTGCAGCGGAAACTAATGCTTCAATTACTTGGCATACAGCAATGGAGTGAAATAACTGTATTAAATATCTGACATTTAAGGATTGGTTTGAGCAAGGAGGGTGTTTTAAAAATTGTGACTTTTGAATTACTCAACCAGACAAGAATGATGCTGAGACCTTTGTGGTAAGGAAAAAAAGACTCAAAGCTTCTTTCAGTTTGAAGCTGAGTACCTCCTGTGCTTATTAAAATCTTTGCTTCAAGTTGTTTGCTTTTACGTTCACTGATAGAAAAATCAGTTATGGACATGGTTTCAAGTTTGTATCAACACTAAGCTGGGATGCCCTAGTTGGTAGAATCACATTTCTACCAAGTCTACCTGATTCTCCCTGAAAGGAGAGAGGTGACTGTATAACTATTTTAGAAGTGTATCTTAAATGTTAGCCATATACTCAGTGTTTTTAATTTAATTTTTCTAAGAAACATTGTAAGCTGCCTCCTTCTGCACTGCCTGTATGTAGATTTTGTATTATCACTTTTATTGCTTCATAAAATCTATGCACGCATATGTAAGTGGAACAGGCAGACCAATCTGATTCATATAGAATCTTCTGTCTACATGTTCTTCACAGTAATTTTCTCTTGACATTAACAGAACAAAGGCTTTGGTGGACTTAAGCCAGCTGGGGCAAATATATGTATGCTGAGAAGCAAATAGTGGCATTTCTTATATAGCTGTATGATAGACTAACAGATATACTAGCAAAGAAAATCAGTCTGTGGTCAAAGAAGTCTGTCAGTGGTAAATACTGAACAAAAGCCAGCTCACTTTTGGCTACTGTATACAAGGGGTGCAGTTCCAAGAGCTGCTGGTTCTGGTGGGTTGAAGTCTGGAGGCTTCCAGCATAATGGGAGTTTTGTATTGCTGCTCTTCAGACAGAGCTTTGTAACTGGAAATTCTGACTTGGCTTGGAAAGGCAATTGTAGATGTTACACAGTGGGAACATGACTTGAGAAATGTTTTTCTTCTGTTTGGTTGTTTGTTCCTCCTCCCCCCTTAGTGTATTGGTAGAATTAGTGCCAATTGGGTGAAATGCAATTTCATTTCATTTCACCCATTGGTGCTGATTGGATGACATGCAGTAAATGTGCTCTGTCAAGAGGTGCTGACTGAAGAGTAAAATGATTTCCTGGGGAAAAAAAATTTCATTTTATTAAAACCTGCTTCTCCACAGAATAATATTTTGAGATTCTTCATTTGTTTTCTCAACTGAGGCTTTATGAAGCTTTAACTTAGAGAGTGTGAAATGGACATGTAAGTGGCCCTCAGCTTTCAGGAACAGATGGCTGGTACTGTGACTGCACTGAATTGTCATTCAGCAAATTATTTCAGTGACATGGCTACCCTGTATATTTATAGTGACTTTCTCTTTCTCCCTTCCCAACCCCTTTGTTCTTAGCGTTCCCATGGTTTGGAATGGATATCGGTGGAACGTTGGTTAAACTGGTCTACTTTGAACCTAAGGACATTACTGCAGAGGAGGAACAGGAGGAGGTGGAAAACCTGAAAAGCATTAGGAAATACTTGACCTCCAATACAGCCTATGGTAAAACTGGCATTCGTGATGTCCACCTTGAACTGAAAAATTTGACTATGTGTGGACGCAAAGGAAACCTGCACTTCATCCGCTTTCCCAGCTGTGCCATGCACAGGTTCATACAGATGGGTAGTGAAAAGAACTTCTCCAGTTTGCACACTACGCTCTGTGCCACGGGAGGTGGAGCTTACAAGTTTGAGGAGGACTTTAGAACGGTAAGTCAACAGTTCATATGAGATCAAGGGGAAGTACTTTGGAAAAACATCATGGGAGCCCTTCTATTAAAATTTGTAGGGAGAATAATATTTTTTTTTGTCCATCCTCACTGGTTAAGACTAACAGAATCAATTCACATTGTCAATTGGTGGCATTGCTGAGAACATGGCGAGAGGAGGGGAGGGTATTCGTATTCTACTTGCTTGGTATTACTGTGCAGGATGTATTTAGTAAATGTGGGGTTTTTTAGTGTACAGCTGTGGTGATCAGATGCTTCATAATCAACCTGAGGGTATGTTATGACAACACAGAAGCCTTGACACTATACAAGGTACCTGCAAACTGATTATCTATTGGAAAAGAAATGAAGCTATACTGCCTGGAAATTTGATTCAGGTTCACTTCCCTTTGTATTAACATTCAAGCAGAGTGAAGTCAAGAGTCTTGGTGGAGCATGGGGGAGAAACAATGTATGGAAGCATGACAGTACCAGCTAGCTTTTGATTTCAGTTCTGGGAGTCTGCATCATGTAATAGCAGGTACAGTTGCTTACTTTGTAAGGAATTTTGTGTCTCTCACTCCCACAGCTGTGGAACTGAACTGGAAGTTACCGGATAGCTATCATAGCTAAGCATTCCTCTCTGTAGCTTTGGCTTTATTTCCCATAAATATGCAATTTACAGTGAGGGATCAGTCTTGTCTCAGCTGCAGTATAGTCAATCCAGCACTTGAAGCATGATTGAAATTCGGGCTGTTTTTCTATCTGTTGAGCAAATATATGAGTTCACATAGCAAATGACTGATGGACTTCAGCGTGAAATCCCACATCTCTGCAGGGTTGGTTAACATTCAGTGTGCTACAACACTTGCAGGTAGTTTAAGAAAACTCCCCAGCCAGCCTTTATTGGGTTTTTGTTGCATAATGCAATCAGTGAAGTGCACTCACACTTTGAGTGATTTGGACACCTTTTCCAGCTATCCAGTTCCACACCTTCCTTTACAGCAAATGTTTCTTGGCTCAAACTATAATATCCATAGAGAATTACAGAAGAAAAGTACTATCCATTACATGAAGGTTTGCTTTCTTAATCCCTCTCAAAGGCCTGGGTGTTCTGGGTACTGGCACTTAAATTGTCACACTTCATTAGCCATTGTAACAGCAGCTGGCTATCTCAGTGTGTTCTGCTGACTGTAAATTGACACTGGACAACAGCTTCAGGGCTGCTCTCTCAAAGCAGTGAAACGTCTGTTTCAAATATTTGATCACTCTAATGCACCTACAGAAATAGAGAACATGTGCCAAGTCTAAATCTTAATGTTGCAGGATTCAGTATTGTATAATGCCTTATATGGAGGAGACTTTAAATGTTTATTTACTTAGAAGCAATGTGGAAAAACTAAGGTATTTTTGAATGTTGTTATTTTCATTAAAAAAATCTGACCTAATGCTAGGAAACTCATGGTTTGATCTCACAAACATGCTTTTGTTCTGGCCCTTTATTTCCCTATGTATATGCTTTTAAATTATTTTTCTTTCACTGTATTTCTTAATGCTTGTGTGACTTCTGGAATTGCATAGATTTTGGACAGAAGCTCCAATGTCTTGCAAAACAGCATTCAAATCCCAAAGAAGGAAGCCTTCTAAGATTACAGAAGCTTTTTCTCCTTAAAATAGACAAGCAAACACCCTGTTGTCACTTACCTGTTCCATTGCCTAATCCTGAACCCCTAAACAGGTTGAATAGGTTTGATCTCTGTTGCTTTTGTGTATTAAAAAATAAGATAAAATGGTGAGGCATCTTCTGTTTACCTTAAGCCTGTTTTCTGTGCCATAAAAAGGCAACTAAATCTACAAAGCTACCTAAGTTTAGCAATTTGACCTCCCTCTTGTGATCTGCAGCATAGGATGGAAGGAGACCTGAAGAAGTCTCTGTGGTTTGCTTGGTGATTGCCGCAGTAATAATCAGTAGCTTGGCAAATCATGTGATTCATTCTTAACATCTGAATGCTTCCCTTAGAAATAGGAAAACTAACTATTCATTAAACTAGGCCACAGGAATATTTTACCAACCATATGGTTATACTTAATGTTCACTAAAGAGACCATCAGAAAGTAATTCACCAAAAGGACTATTTCCAGATTAGGGGTTTTTACTTGGTTTTCATTTTGGTTGTTTGTTTGGTTGGTTGGTTTTTTTGTGGGGGGGTTGTTCTTTCTTATTCCTTTTATGAATGACTAGTCTTTATGGCTGGCTGTCTTTATATTCAGGTAACAGTGATGTTAAGGCATGGATGGATCTGATGCCTAATTCTGATAATCCTTCCTTCTTTCCCCAACATGTACTGTAAATACTCAAGTGACCACTTTTGTAAAAGTAAGGAGTACTTAGACTTGTTTGCTTGTATATCTGTGATAGGAATCTCTTTATGCTCTGACTCCTCCATGATAGCATATGTGCATTACTTGCACAGAAGTTTACTGTTAATGTAATGAGGAACAAATTCTTAGGCTGCCCCTCAGTTTTGTGAAGCAAATGTAAAGGATAGGTGGGGGAGGAGAGAAGAAAGAACTATTCAGACTTTTGTCTAAAACCTGCACTATTGCAAAATTTCTGTTGACTGCAGTGGCTCAAAGGTGGGATTTTTGTAATCCTTTCCTAAACAGACATTTGCAGAACTTGACTTGTCTTGAAAGAAATTTTACTGCTAATTTCAGTGGGAGCAGGGTGTGGGCCAGAAAACCCCCAGTTGCTTAGTCAAGAACATTTGGGACAGGAAAGGAAGGAAATGTCTTACCAACACAAACTCAGGCCTTGACCTTCCCCATAACCTGTAACAAAAATGCTTTAAAAGTGAGCTTGGCTGCTGGATAGCGATTTCCTTGTGCCAAATACTAGCTGATTCTAAAGCTTGACTTTGTGGTATGAACTGAATGCCTGATGACTTGTAGACTGTATTTATCTTAAAACAAATAAACTCACCATCCTGTCTTGTAGGATGAGTAAGCTATGTAACTTAAGTTATCATAAGACACTCAAACCTCTTCTTGCTTGAGGAGGCTGTGCTTAGGCCATAGCTGCTGGCCTGTAGCGTGTAGACTGGGCTGGAGTTGAATGCAGCATCCACAGAATGCATCAAGTGACCACGACACCTTCTGTAACCATCTCAAGAAGAAGCTAGGAAACTCCTGAGAGGGACTCTGGAGAAACAATGTGCATCTCTTCCCTGTCAAGAGAAAGGAGACATCCCTACAGCTAACTGGGCAAGAGGGCAGACCTCTGCAAAGGATTCCAGACAAGTGCTTTTTTTGCCCAGAGCTGATTACAGAGTGAATCTTGTCTTCTGCCTCAGTGAATGCTGGATATGTGCTTGCATTAGACTTTGTCTTGTTTGAATGTGAGTCGTTTGTTTCCCAGCTCCATAAAGAAGAGGGTTGGGGGTTGAAGTGAAAATAATCAAAATATAAAGAAAGCAAAGTATGTCTTTAAGAAAGTGGGGGAGAGGTAATGGGAGGGAGATGGAAGGAAAAGCTAGATTGTAAGCTGTTCTAAGAAATAAAACCTGGAGCGTTGCCCAGAAGTAATAAAAGCCAGATTGATATAGTAAATGAGGCTGTTGTAATTGATAATTAAAAACTTGCAAGATGTTATGTTCCTAACAGTTTCTTACAGGAAAAAACATTTATGTTGTTAATTGAAAGTTCAAGTGACAAATGAACTTGTAACTGTATCCAGGTTCAGACTTTCCTGTGCTCACCAGAACTATGTAACAGTGTGAATTGTCACGGGAGGGAATGTTGGCTGCTTTCTTGGTGTGTTGCACCTGCTTGTAAGCATGGTCGAAGTCCTCAATGCCTCGTTTTGTTGGTCCTGGAGAGTTTCTTGAGGTCTTAAATGGTTTGTTCCCTTCCCTAGTATTTGAAAAACAGTCTAAAAAAAAGTTACAGTCTGGCTATAATGCAGAAAAATAATTCTTAAAAAAAATGCACATATGATTTCCCTGTAACCATCATAAATTTCCCTCCAGGCTCCTCTATGCAACTTTGTTCTGCAGTTGTTCCTCTCATAGCACAATTTTCTGGCAGAACTTTTCTATAGAGACACTGTGCTGAATATAGTTATGGGAGTGCAGAGTAGAGTAAGCTAAACATTATGCTGTCTGCCTTCACATTAGGTATTATAAAGAGCTGGGAAATACCTGCAAATGCATTTTGTAAATATTGTAGGAAAAACACCCAATTAAAATGTGCTTCGATATGCAGCTTCTGGGGTTTTTTTTTGCATATTTTTACCTAAGCTTTGGTTCCTGCAAGGAGAAGAGGTTTGAACAGCTGAAAGTTGAGGGTAAGTAATGTGTGTAGGTAAGGGGATGGCCAGCAGGAAAAAAATGTTTGCAAATTAGTTACAATGGTTTGGGGCACATCTATTTTGCATTGCAGTTTTGCTGCTTTGAGACATTGTGAGCAAAGAAACGAATAGCAAAAAGGCAGTTCTACAGGCATGGAAAGGGACTGAATTCTGACACTGGCTCTGTCATGGCTTATTGTACAAGATCGGGTTACTACATTTCTTGCAACTTTCCCCTAATTTCTCTTTAGCAAGAACAGTGGTAGCTCTCTAAGCTGCTTGGAGCTTTGGGTGTCTGATGGCTGCAGAGCTCGTGGTTCTCTGAATGAAGGTGAATTGCCTTAGAATACCAATGCCAGTCTTGCTCTTCGAGAAATTAAAACCAGACTGCTGCAGCAACACAGGGAAATAGTTTTTCATTCTGCTATGAAGTTCATACATGAAAGAAAACAGTAATAGAACTTTTCTGCATACAGTATATCAGCTGTTAAATATAGCACAGAGCTATAAAAAGCAAAACAAATTCTAGTATGTCTTTTTTACATGGAGGCCTGGAGTTAATAAAATCTCTATGTGTAGTGCTTGAGAAAGAATCAAATTAGTTTCTTTTGTTCTATTCTTACAAAATTGGTGGCCTGACTGGAGAATTTGTAGAATCAAGGATTTTGTCTATGTTTTTGCACTGATGCCAGATGTGCTTTGCTCTTGGGATTTGTATTGCTTGTTTGTGTCTTGCAAGGTCTCTGACTAGTGCTTACCTATTTGTGAAAATGTAGCATGGATCAGACAAAAGCAGCTTGTAGCCAGGTATTTGGCTTACAGGGGAGCAGAGGTTTTGACAGTAGGGACCATAAATCTGCTAGTGACTTGTCTTTGTATAGCAGCTTCTAGTTCAAGTCTTTAATGCTGCATTTCTGTAATTATAATTTGTGTAGCCATGTACTGACAAAGAAAAAAATATGAAGGGATTGCAGAAGTTACCAGAGGAAATACAGAAACAAGAAGAAATTATATCCACCTGTCTCTCTTGTCCTATGAACAACTGGATGTATATTGAGTCTTTGAGACTGCTGGTTTGTTTGGTCTTAATTCTTTTCTATGGTTCCAGGATTTGAGGACTGGTAAGTAGAACAGAAAGGCAGACCCAAAGAGTGAGCTGGCTTTCAGTTACGGCAAGCTGGACCAATGTACAAGTAGAGAAAAGACTTCACAGGAGAGATTTAAATAGCTCAAAAGAATGTAACCTATTGGCCGTGCCTGTTCCCTAAAAATATCTTTCCTCTTTACAGTGATTTAATATAGCTTCAGAATTAAAAATAGGACATAGTTACCCATTTAAGTCTTCTCCATCAGCTGTTATAAAAACATCCTGCAATATGCAAATGTTTTAGAACTGGCTCTCTCCTGTATAACTCTATTGTTTGTAGTACTCTGTCACTTTTTTTGATAGAAAGTAGAGTTAGGTGAGGTAGGCTTTGCACGTGTGAGGATGCAAGTGACCTTAGGATTTGAATGGGCAACTTTACAATTTTTTTTGCTCCCTCTCCTCTACCGAAAACTGGAAAGGAGACTTTCTACAGACTGTCACTGAATTCTATTTTTAGAAAGAAGGGATGTGATTTCTAATTCTAGTGAATAGAATGCTATGGCAAGTAGACATGTCTGCTTAAGCACAGTTTTGGTGACCTGTGAAATCTCAGGGGGAAAGTCCTTTGTCAGCTTTTTTTTAATTTTCTATTTTCTGTTAAAATTGTATTTTCACAATCATTTTATATTTACTAACATTTTTCTGGGGGCATAGGCCTGACAATCTTTTTTGGGGCGGGAGGTTGTATGTTTTTTCACCAAACATAGTGTTTTTCATTATGCATTTTGAAGTGCTCATCATAATTGAAAGAAATAACTCTCAGATTACTGGTGACATGCTAAAAAAGAATTGTCATCTTTTAAACATAATTCACCGTATATTTAATGCATATTAACATAACGTGCACACCTTAATGCTTCTATTGAAAATTTCTCTAAATTACTGGGAAATGTAGTTGGATGATGAGCTAAAGCACTTTGCATCCTGAGAAATGATGATGTGTAGGCATGTGTCAGATACTCCCCAAAAGCTGCATCTCCTCTTGGGCTGGGAATGAGGGGAAAGAAATTTACTGCTTCAGAATACCAAGGGGGAGAAATATTTCCTGCTTTCGGAGCAGGGAATGTCTCAAAGGCACAGGAACTAAATGGCATTACTGCATAGCACATCATTGCTCTGGGAGGTACCTGTTGTCAGACAGATAGCAAGCTTTTATTTCAGACTTCATGCTTAGATCTTTGTACTGTTTAAATAGGATAATGTGTTACTATTAAAGTGATCAAAGTGCTTCAGCAGAGCCTTTTGTCCTTCTTAGTGTTGTATTTTACTAGGAAATATTTATTTATTAATTTCTTCTTGTTGTTTTTCAGATTGCTGACCTACAGCTCCACAAACTGGATGAATTGGACTGTTTAATCCAGGGCCTCCTTTTTGTTGATTCTGTTGGTTTCAATGGCCAACCAGAGTGCTATTACTTTGAAAATCCTACAGATCCTGAACAGTGCCAGAAAAAGCCTTACTGCCTTGATAATCCATATCCTATGCTGCTGGTTAACATAGGCTCAGGGGTCAGCATCCTAGCTGTGTATTCTAAGGACAATTACAAGAGAGTTACAGGATCCAGGTAAATTTAATTTTGTTTCTTTTAATTCTCTTTTCTCTTTAGTAATTGAACAGGTAGAACTAGACAGTGTGAGCAGTAGGTGCAGCCTCAAATTGTGTTTGTCTTTCCATTTCTTTTAAAAGCCAGTAGCAAGGCTGAAAACATTGTAGGATTCCTTTGGGGTGGGGTCTACATAAGGGAAATCATTGATCCATTCAACTTTACATCTGCCTTAGTCTCTTGTTGGTGTTCTTACCTAGATCCCATCTCTTGCTGTGAATTACCAAAATCAAGCTGTCCCAGGAAATGAATCTTCTCTCCCCTGCTTTGATCTCCTGGGACAGTCTGATTAATTAAATATGTTTGGGCTTAGTAGTTAGGATATGCCCAGGATATAGGAAAACTTCGTAGACTTGATTTTGACACAGGAATCTCACTAGATCCCTTGTTTCCTTACTGATTGCACTAGTCTTTGGACTATACTGGTAAATGAAGGAATGCCAGTGTGTAAAGACTAGAATGTGCTTTTCTGAATTCATTGTTACTTTGTCGTCTATGTGATTTCAGCCTCGGTCAGCTAGTGCTGTCTGAACTGATTTGTAAGGTAGAGCTGAGTTGAAATGGTCTCTGGCATGTGTTCAGTAAGGGATTTAGATGTGCCTGCTCTGTTCATGAATTCAGGAGTTCTGTAGAGTGGATGCACTCTTTGTTCTTAAGGGCAAAAAAACAGCCTGAAGCATGGTTAAGTTTGCTCGGAAGATTTGGAAACAGTGCTAACTTTTAGGAAAGTATTTAGTTACAGATGTGTCCATCCAGAGACGTAGCAAAAATACTAATAAATCTATCAAACTTTTTTCTCATACATGCAAACTGAACTGATACACTTTGTTTTTCATGATCTAGTAATAGTAAAAAGAAAAGCAAACAAACCACCAAAACAGAAACCTAAAAAAAAAAAATCACCTTTCAAAACAACAATTGAAGATGCTTCTTGGGGTTGCTATAGTTCCTTCCAAAGCTGCATTCTGTTCTTCAGAACATGCTACATATTAAAGTTTCTCCTCTATATTGCACATGACTGCCCATGTGTCTTCTGTTGCCTTGTCTAGAGCATATCTGTCACAATGGTAGCCATGAGCCATTTTTTTGTATACAGTACAGATGGACACAAGTTGAATGGGAGAAGTATTAGTCTTGCAGTTCTGGTGGTTTTTCAAGCACAGTAGTCTTGGCATCTGTAGATGTGCTTCTGATCCTTTTCACTGTGTAAGGAAAAACATGACTGCAGTGTGTTGTTGACTTGTTATAAATGATGAAATCAGTACTGTCTTGTGGCTGATGTGGAGAACTTTCTATTGTTCAGACACTGAGTATATTATGGTGCTATTAGATGTGTTCTGAAAAGCCCAGTAGTCCAAGAGCATGGACTAAATGGTGTTCCTATCTGACCTCCTGAGCTTTTTCGTGAAGTGCAAGTGTGGTGTCTCACTGATCCTCTTGTTTACAGTGGCTTCAGTTGGTGTGGCTGCAGTCAGTGCAAATAAGCTAACTTTCTCAGGGGCTAAGAAAGAATGAGGAAGGATGTAGAGGTTAGTAAGCTGAAGTTCATGTCTGTTAAAACTGAAGAGTCCAAAGGAAAATTTTAACTGGTTAGCAACCTGTTATGCACAGCTAAATCCTCCCTGCTAAATTTATATAGTCAGTAAATATTGTACTTGAGCCTTTACAAGAACTAAAGTGACTGCTCCTTGCTCAGAGTTCTTGCAGGGAAGGAACATTCAGGACTGATACTAGCCTTGCTTTGAACAGGAACCAACCAGTGGCTTCCTGCCACTGGCTAGATCTGTCTTGGCTGCCTGCCCCTGTATAGATATTTAACTTTGTTCACTGTTTATTCTTTCATAACTGATTTGAGTGCTCTCCTGGCTAATTATTCTTGCACAAGGAAAATCGTTAAGAGTGCTACAAATAGCAAAGTGGTATCTGTGGTGTTGGATTGGACTTTATTCTTAGCTAACCCTTTATTTAGTATAATTTCTCCTATTTAAGTATTAAAGACTTAAGAATAGCTCAGTTAAAACCGCACTGGATGACACCTAAGTTAAACAGAAACTCAGTTTAGGGTGTCTGTCTTCACTCCTCTAAGGAAGGAGTTGCAAGACACAGCTGGTAGCTCCGTAGACCTTGTTGCAAGTGGGAGTCTGAAGAGTTGTGGTAAAAGCTGGCTCGAGCTGCTGGTCTGAAGGGACTGTGCTTTTTCAGTCTTGGAGGAGGAACGTTCCTGGGCCTGTGCTGTCTGCTCACTGGCTGCGAGACGTTTGAAGAAGCGCTAGAAATGGCCGCGAAAGGAGACAGCACCAATGTGGATAAGCTGGTGAAAGATATTTATGGAGGAGACTATGAGCGGTTTGGCCTTCAGGGGTCTGCTGTAGCATCAAGGTATGTGTTAACTGAGCTGTTTTTAAGGAGTCCCTTGGGAAACTTCCTGTGCATGCTAAACTGAGTGCATAATCCCTGAACTCTGCACTATGTCTGTGTGGTCACTCGATGAATCATGTAGTTTGTCCTTAGATCTCTCACCTACTTCGTGCTCTTTTTTTTTTTTTTTTTTTTAAACAGGTATAAGCAATACTTGATGAATTTTCCTTCCATTTAAATTACAGTTATTTTAGAAGTGTCCTTACTTATTGTTCTACCTTTCTAATGAGATCACTTTTCACGTTTCAAATCTGTCACAAATCAGTGGATATCAAGTCCAAGCAAAGCTTATTAAATTACAACATTTTAAGGGCTTTTAGCACTCTTAAATGTCTCATATTAAAAGACATCATCTTCCTCACACAGCTTTGGTCATATGATGAGTAAAGAAAAGAGAGATTCCATCAGTAAAGAGGACTTGGCCAGAGCTACTTTGGTCACCATCACCAACAACATAGGGTCTATTGCTCGCATGTGTGCATTGAATGAGGTAAGTTATTCACCATGAGCTTAAAACCTTTAGAAACAACACAGTGAGATTACCAGAATGCAAAATTGCTGGCATAGTAGGTGTGTTACTGGCCTTGGTAAATATGCATATGTTTAATGACGTGTGACTTATGTGTATGCTTTGAGGCAAAGTGAAAGTTACTTGGAGCTTCAAAGCTAGCCAAGAGGGGAGAAAAGTTAACTGTAAAGATCTCTTTGAAGCACTGAGCTTCAGCCTAGAGCTGTTCAGTTGCCCTCAAGCTGTAATACATAGATATTAACACCTTTGTAATATAAATTATTACTCTCAATTACCTTGTTGTTATTAACAGGTTTTACTATACCTGGACAAATTTTATTTTGAACACTTCTTTGTTTGAGTTGTTTCCATAGCATGACAGGTTCAAATTGTGTATTGTGTTAAATATTTTGGTAGTTATAGGAACCATTGCATTAGGTCAAAAAGAAGAAAAATACACTTGAGGCATTATCCTGCCTCAAACTCCTATCAGATGCTCATTACATTCTTTTCTTTAGGAATGATAATTATGGATGGATTGTTCCATTCCTACACCTTTCCAACTTCTAGCAGTTAAAACAAAAAAAACCAAAAAAACAAACTCACACACAAAAACCCCACCACAAAACCAAACACAGAGGCCCTTGTTTTTATCTGCAGATTGCATCCTTTACTGTTGTGTGATAACTAATCTCTTTTATCTGCTCTGAATTAATTTATATAATTTTTTTAAGACAGGTCTTTTAGCTGAACACCACTCTGTCAGTAGAAGAAATAGCTTCTTTTTAATACTTTTAATCATTGACACATCCACAGAGCCCCAAAAAACCCCAATAAAACAAAACCAAGAAATGTACCAAACTGCCATCTGGTTACTTTATTGGGTCCCATCTAGCTTTTGGCTTTATGAGAAATAGGAAATAATTAATCACTAGTGGTTTTGGTGGGTGGGGGTTTTGATTTTATTTTTAATAAATATTTGCCACATCTCCCCTGGGCTCTTTCCAAGACAGAAGGTCCTAATACTTAATCTTCTTTCTTATGGAAGACACTGTCTCTTTTTTTCACTGCTTCAGTTTGTCTTTTTAATCTTCTTGTTGTTCTAATTTTAGGACTGAATGATCAGATCTTCATGTGGTATTCAGGGTGTTGTTGCTCAATGAATTTGTGATGGCATATTGATAAATTTTGTGTTCTGAGTTCCTGTACTAACAGTTCTTAGTATTTCATTTTTGTGAGCATGGAACTCAATTTTAAGGAACCGTCCACCGTCCCTCCACAGTCTTGTCTTAAAGTAGCTAATCTGGAGCCTTTCATTGTCTGAATACTCAAGTGTTTCTGTCTTAGCCCCTTTCATTTGTGTAATTTCATTTTTTTACTATAAACTTCATCTACCACTTTTTCTTTAGTCATTGGTCTCTTCAGCATTGCTATGCTGTTTAATTTTTTGTTCTTCTTTGACTAACTTTGTATGCCAGTTATGTTTGTTGCTCATTGCTCTCTGGACCACTTCTAAGATGTGTTGAACAGCACAAGTTTTAGTGTATGCCCCTATCAAATGCCACTGATAACCTTCTTTCATTGTGAAAAGTGGCTTCAGACATAGGTGGTGTGTGTGTGAGTGATTTTGGGTTTTTTTTTTTTGGCAACTCTTTCAGTCAGGATGATTCTCTTTCAATGTTCTCTTTGCTTTCAGCTTCTTTACAGTGTTGCCTTGTGGCATGGAGTTCAAGCAGCATTGTACAGGGCTATCAAAGCATGGAGAGTTGCAGCAGGGAGCCACATGCGATGCATTCACAGGAGGAAATAGGCTACTAATGAAACTAATACTTCTGAGTCATCATGGAAAAGTTCCTAACATCTTTGTTTTGTGGACAGGCTTACTTAAAAACTGGACATGATCCATAGAATTTTGTGGAGGAATGTGAACTGATATGTTAAGTATTCTTTATTTCACAGCATCAAAGTAGAATTTATCGAACACTTGAACTACATTATTTTGTAGTTTTAGAGAATGAAAACTTCTTTTAGTAGCTTCACATGCTATTAAAAAGAAAAATCAGACATGCAGTATCATTGCAAGTAAGCTAATCTTCAGCTAGTTTGCTCTTGGGGAAAAAACTAATACTACCATTCTGCTAAATAATCTAGACACCTAAATGCCTTTGGGAGACATGACTGACTTACAGCAAGGTTGATGAATGAAATCCCCAAATAAGAGCTTCAAAACAGCTGAATATGATATTCTTTTATGGAGCTTGTATGTATTAGATTAGGGTTATGGTGAAGCTCACTTTTAGGTTAACAGAATCAATTTATGCCCTGAAGCATGAGTTTTGATAAATTTTTCCCAATGATTGCAGCTTTAATATTGTGTTGAAAATGACTTGCATATGGGCAGGAAAAAATGAGGCTGGGGAATAAATGAAATATTCTGTCTGAAGAACTTCAAAGCAAATTTGCTTGCGCAAAATTGGCAGTGGGGTTGAAAAATTCTGTAGTCTGGAACCATTTGGCTACACATCATTTGAAGTGGTCTGTCCTAGGCACGGCAGAACTGCATAAAGGAAACCAATGCCCTGGTTTATACTTTTCTTACTAGCAGAACATGTAAGTTGAATCTGAATAAGACTTCTTGCAAAAGTATGTGTGGGGTTTCTTATTGCATTATTGGTATAGATTTCCCTATTCAATTATATTGGCAAATATGTGAATACACTACACTGAAGCTATACTGTAGCTTTCTACTACAGGGTATTTGAACAATTTATTGAGACCCACAGAGTGCAAGAGTACATGTCTTTTCTAGGATGTTGTAGTTTGATTAGCTTAAGGATGTCATCACCATTTCTTCATCAGTTTAAGACTTCTGTCTTTCAGCTTTGAAAGCTTCAGCAGTGGACACAATTTAGAAGTAAACTGACAAGACTCCCTTAAAAGATAAAAGTAGCATTTCTTCATTTTCTGACTCCTGAAAAATGCTGTTTTTTTAGTTCAGTTCAAAAAATCCAGGAAACTTTTTATCATTAATACAATTTTTAATCTTATAAAAAAAATTTGGAAAATAAAATTGACATTAATTTTTTATGTTGATATACTCTCTGCTATTCTAGTAGATATGACTAGTATTCTTAGATTCAAAATTTACAGTAATTTTTATACTCTGTGTTAGATACTGTTTCCTTCAGTTTCTGCTAACAATAGCTTTGTGGTTATACACAGAAAAGAATAATATGAATGTGAAACTGAAATGTAGATTCTAATCAATTTTATGGTATTGCATTATAGGAAATGTTGTGTGTTTATCCCTCCTTTATCAGAAATTACTTCAGAGGCAAAACGGCCTTGTCAAAGGATGCAAGGTTCTCTTGGCCATGTTTAATAGCAGCCTTTTGAAATTTGAGATGTTCTTATTTTCAGTCATAAATTAAATAAAGTCTGTGTTGATGTGTTTGATTGGTGTTGGGCAATCAGACATGTAACTCAGTCACCGGCAACTGATAAATGAGTTACTGCATCTGGGTGTCTCGCTCTCCGACACTGAGTATTCCAGTGAGGATGTTCTCTGTGGGATGCCACATGCACAGTACTGGGCACGATAGAACTGTGGTCTGTAGCAAAGGAATTGCTGCAGAGCCAAGTGTTTGGCTTTATAGAGCTGTAAGAATGTAGAGAGGTAACCCTTGGTAATTCCAGCCCCTGCACAAAAGTTTTCTGGTAATTTTCTACAGAGGACTCTTGAAGATCCATTTCTAGGGTACTTCAGGATTCCTGTAAAAGCTTCTGTCTCCAGGATTTGACCTCCTACTGAATCTTCTGTACCAATTCTAGTGTGTGGTGAACATCATGGTACACCAATGCAAAATGCAAGTTCATTTTTGTGCATATCAGGCAGAACTGGGCTTGGTGAGATAGTTGTTGTGGGCATTGCTTAAACACCAGACAGAACCATTGCTTACTGCAGTGATGTACATACAGGAAAGGATAACCCATGCCTTTCTCACTGGAAGCTTAGTGCTGATGATTCAAAAATCTTAATTTCCTGAATGAAAACTGCGTTCAAGTGAGCTTTGAAACAAAGCAATGCCATTCATATCAAGTATTATGTCAGCCACATTTCACTTGCTTTTTGAAAATGGAGCTACAGTCCAGATTACAGATAATGAAAGATGGTTCTTCCCATCTCTAATGTAATCCTTCTCAGATACCCTTCAGAGGTTCTCCATCTGGATTTAATAATCATAGTGATCACTGGAAAGTTGCTTCATTTACCATGCAGGGGGCAAAGATGTCTTCAGCGCAGCCATATACAATTAAAAAAACCACCAAAACCCTCATAATCTGATTCATGTTGGGAAGGTCCTGAGCTCTTAAGCACATACTTGATCATCTGTAATAATGGCCTCTCACTTGGAAATAAAACTGCACCTCCTCCCTGCCTTTGCAACACCTCTACTTAGCAGTTAGTAGTTGTAATTAGTTTTTGACTTTTCAGTCTGGAGAATTTAAATGTAATCCAAAATTCCCATTTAACTTTATAGTAGAGCCAGAGGTACATGTTGAATGAGGCAAATAATTTAGCTGACTATAATTCTTCTGGTCTGTTTTTCAATTTCAATTTTACAGAACATCGACAAGGTGGTATTTGTGGGCAACTTTCTCAGAATTAATATGATTTCTATGAAGGTGCTAGCATATGCTATGGATTATTGGTCCAAAGGACAGCTGAAAGCTCTGTTTTTGGAACATGAGGTAAGGAAATACGTGTGGAACTTTTATTTGTAAGTACAAAAATCTTGTTCTTTATTTGTTAAAAGGGGAGAAATCCAGTGCCATTGCTTTGAAGTGAATGCAGAAGCCAAGTTCTGCATAAATGCAATTTAGTTTGCAAATTCATTTGAAAATACTGCTTGTAAACTTCTTGGCTTGATCACTAATCTCGCGGTATGCGTTGTTAAACATTGCCTGTCTCTGATTTTTGCTCTCTGACCCTGGTACCAACAATGTTTGTACCATTGGCTTCTACATAAACCTCAAGTATAATTAATTTTTGTAGGCATAATTTTGAGGTGACTACCAGATGGATGGGCTCATAATGGAAACCATCCTGCCTCAATATGGCACCGTTATAATGGTTCTGTAATTTCTTTTTGACATTTTTGGAGAACTGTGTAGGATTTTTTTCAGTATCAGGCCCTTTCTTGTACCTAAAGAAGATCTTATTAAATCATAATGAGATGGAGCAAATACTTGGCACAGCAGGGCTGATCTTATAAAAAAGGTCTTTTAATTGCCTTAACAGAACTGAAGACTTTATATGTTCATGCCTATGTCTTATTTTGGAATTTGATTGGGTTTGGTTTGCTTTTGCCTTTGTTCAAAGGGTTATTTTGGAGCTGTTGGGGCTCTTCTAGAATTGCTTAAAATGACAGATGATCAGTGATGTCTGAAGAGCTTCCTACTGCAGATGCTGCTGGATAAGAAGTGAAAGCCACTACAAGGATGGAAACAAAGCCATTATGGTAGTTCTACCTGCTGGATTTGTAAATAATTTTAAATCCTTTTAGCTAATCTTTAACTTCTTGGGTTTTGACCTTATAATTCAGAATTCATACTGGGAATTATGAGGATTTTTTTTCTGTACACTGTATTTTTTAGAGGAAAAAAATGTGCAAAGTGGCCAAACATACAGATTGTATGGATTTATTTTAAAAAATTGATACTGTTTAATGTAGGACCTGTGATATGAGGCATCTGCTTTTCTTCTGGGGTTTACTGATTAGTGTGGTAATTTTAACTTCATTTAGTAATCACTCTAGGAGATTTTTTAATCTTATTTTCATGACGTTTCATGATTTGTTCTTGGTTTCAAATGAAACTACAAAGCTGATGCATTTTACTGTGAAAACTAGTCATTGATTTTTTTTTTTTTACCTTTCCTTTCCTCATTAGATGAGACACTTTTTTATTTAGCACCCCAAAAAAATAAATTTACAAGCCTTCTGTGGCTAAATGTGTTTCTTGGCAGGACTATGAGAAGGCTTGGCAGGGGTAGGGGGTTTAAGATTGTAACTTTTTGGTAGTCGTGAATTGCAACAGGAACAGACTGCCAACTGGTTTTGCAGGATTAATTCTTCTCTACAATAAAAATCTTAAACAAGATGTGAACTAAAAGTTTAATTGTTGAATTAACACTAAAATGAAATCCTGTTTCTGTTGAAAAGCTCTGATCTGAAGAGTTCTGTAGTAGAGATATTATTTATATGGTACATACTTGGCATTACATAGTAAAGGGAGATTGTTTTCATTTGTTTTTCTGTAGTCTGCAAGTTTTAACTTGTTCTTAATTGAAAACAACTGATAACTGCATTATTCAAAGCCCAGTTACTAAAATTAGAAAAGTACTGACTAATCTATTTTCTGCTTTTAAGTTAATGTGAACTTTTCCTCCAGGGCACTAAAATTTGAATGTTTACTCCAATGCAGTATTTTCTACCTTTTTTGATTTGTGGACCTCTCTAGATTTTTTTTTTCAAGTTGAATTGAGACCCCTTTGAAATCTGTGTACTTAGGTTGCTGCAGAGCATGTGTAAACTTGCTTTTCTTAGACACCTTGAGGACTGAAGAGGCTGAAGAACAGTTTGTCTTGCAAGACTGTATATGATGTCACATAATGTAAAGGATCATCAGAGGGACAGTATAAAATTCAGACACATGTATTATCCAGTATATTTTTGGAAGGGGGGTTATTTCACTTTTCTAAGTAATTTTTTTCCGTATCTCCCGAATGCTGAAAAAAGGTGATATTAACTGAAGTGTTAACTTGTCTAATGGAAATAAAGACCACTACTGTTTTGACAGTTTTAATGTATCTGTGGAATTCATTTATTGAAAGCAATGATGTGAAATACCTAACACTTTTTTTATGACACACGTGACTAGTTATTGCCATGATAATTTTTTTGTTCTTGACATGTCTTTACTCTTAATTACATTACTTTAGCCTTTGAAACCTTTTGCCTTCTTGAAGTTGACTTTAAAAGAGTGTAAACCAAAAGATGAGACAATATTTTAGCATGTTGTAGTTGATATTTCCTGTAATATCAAGCTTGAGATAAGTGAAGATAGTTCTGCACAGTGCCTCTATTTTTTTAATAAAGAAACCTTTCATTAAGCTTATTTGCTAAATTTTAACTGCAAATAAAGATTCATTTGTACATTGTTTTATTTTTTTTAAGGAAGACTTCAGAATGTTAAGAGGTAACTGCACTTCTTATGGCAAACGGTAGAGGGAAGCATGACATCGACGATGTAAACATGCCTGGTTGTTTTTTTTCAGGGAGGGCTCCCAACTTTTTCTCCCTGATCTATTTTTGAAGGGAATTTGATATGGGAATATCTGTCACATAGGTGTTTATGCATTCTTAGCATTTAGAGTTGTGTGAAGGAAGAATATAACATTAAGTAAACAAATATGAAATAGCAGTTCCATTAGGATTAAATCCTCTACTCAAAAAAAACCCACAAAACCCCACAAAAAAGAAACGGTAGCAAGCCATCCAGGAAAATATATAAGGACTATGAAGATGCACAGATTGAGGCTGTGTGGTTAAAGAAGGAAAGAACAACCCTGGTAGCCATGAAGTTAGCTGTAAGATTCCAGGGACTGTCAGGTAAATTGATCACAGCAGTTCTAAGAGAAGCACAAAATAAAACTTTAACTTGAAAATACTGATTTTAAAATTTAAAATGCTTAATATGTGAACTGGTATTGTTAAAAGAATGGGAAAATACTTTGAATTGTATACTACACAAATGAGTACACTTGGTTGGGGAAAAGGTTACCAAACTAAATTAATAGGATAGAGTTATGGAACGTCTGAAGTAGGAGAAATTAGAGGAAAATGTTAGTTCAGTTCTTACTTTCCTGAGGGAGAAAAGCCCACTACAAAACTATTTCTCTGTTGCCTTGAAATCTACAACTGACTCCTTTTTTCTCTGTCCCTACCAGCACCATCATATGAATCTGCTAGTACTGTAACTTGCTTGTTTACCTTCAAACTGCCTTCCTCCACTTATCCCAAGTTTTGTTTTCCTTCCATAAGTAAAGTAATGGAGGAATGACAGGGAGGTCGATTTCTAGCACTGTTACAGTATTTTTGCCATATGGGAACACTTTGGGCAGTTCTAAAAGCATTGCTGTTGTCTTGAACTTTTCTGATTGTGTTTGGTATCCAGACTGCTGTCTGCAGTCATCTGTTGAGAGTATTCTTTGACTCTCTTCATCATCCAGAGGTATCTAAAGAGTCTGAAAACAGTCTTGCTCAGCTACAGAAATGAACCTCTAGTATAACTGATACAAACTGGAAATTTGTGCAAGCAAAGCTCAATTGCAGCTCTATCAACAAGTATTATTGAGAACCTAGAAATGATCCTCGGATCACTTCTGTTTTAGGAATGGTGACAGTGAAGAAGCAGACTACCCTAAGGGAGATCAGTGAGTTTGCAGATTTAGTATGTATTGAAAATACTTGTTTCGGTATAAATTGATGAGACCTCTTAACAAGCCAGGCCATGTGTTAATCAGCTTCTCTTTCTGAAACATGGTAAGGTAATCATTAAGGTAAGTTGGAGCAGAGTGAGTGGGACTACTTCCTCTCAATTCTGATGGCTTGTGCCAAGATCTGCTTCTTCAGGACTTGACCATTGGTTCTTCTTGAATCACATGCTACTCTCCTCATTACCTACTGCCACTGCAAACCCCAGATTTTTAATGGTTTTGACAAAAAGTCTAATTATGTCCCAGTAGGAAGAAGGGTCTGTGTTTCAAAGTAGTTTTTGGACTAAAGTGTTGGGGGAAAGTCTCTAATGCTGGCTGAAGTGTAAGGAACAACTGAGAGTATTTACTTGATCACATTTGTCAGAGAAGGGTAGCATAGGGGCAGTACAAGAATCTGACTTCTAGGGCAAGTGGGGTGCTTGCAATGCATTCCAACCTCAGCAAAGCTGTCCTGGGGTTTCACTGTTATCAGCACTTCTATCCCCATTAGACTGTCACAAGATACTTGCAAGTGATTTTTGGCAGGACACAGCAGAACTTTAGAGAGGGGAGAACCATATGGGGTTGAACTGATGACCAAATAAACATACATGATTGTTTCCAGTTGGATGAGGAGTTCTACTGGGATCTCTTTTTTAAAGTACAAGGTGTCTTTGAATTTGGGAATAAATGAAATACAGGCTATGAAAAAGATCACAGTCCATTTTGTGTCTTGCTACCTCTCAGACACCTGAAAGATAGAGAACATCTGATCTCTAGGATGTTCTGGAAAATAAATGCTTGTTTAAACTTAAAAACTGAATCCAGTTTCTGATTCTTTAAGATTTGCTGGTGCTAATTGCAACTTTGTGTGATTATTAGTGTGTTTGGAGAAAAAGAGATGTAGAGACTGTGCAAGAAGGGAGTCCTTCAAACCTCTCCTACCACCTCCCTCCCCCCAAAAAACACAAAACCAAACCAAAACAACAAACAAACCCCACAGAACTACAGGAACAAAAACCCCCAAAACAAACAACAACCAAAAAACCCACCAAACAAAACAAAACAAAACAAAAAAAAACCAAAACCAGAAAAAGCAAAGTAAAAATTGTGGTTCTGATTCTAAAAGTTTGGAGAATCTGTCAGCTGCCTTGGGAATCGAGATTTGCCTCAAACAAGAGATACTGGTGCTGGGAGCGATGGAAGAGAAATGAGTAAGAAAAGCTGAAGTTCCCAAGAGGGGAAGCTGTTGAGCCTGGAAAAGGGACAAAGCAGCAGCATCTGTAGAAGTTTCTGGGGTGACATGAACGAGATAGGAAGGGCCCTGCAGGGTGAGTAATTAACGAGCTCTTTGTTAGTGCAACCTGTGAGAGAATGGTGGTGTAGATGGGGAGGGCAGGTGATTTGACAGAATGGCAGAGGTGCCCTAATTCAGAGGGTGAAGGAAGGGTGGGTGGTCGTGAGCTAGAGCATTGCATGGTTACTACTTGGCTGCAGCACCCCTGGAGTACCCAGCGACCTGTGCTGAAGCATTAAGTCTCTACTGAGATGCAGATGTTCTCTCATATGGGCAATAAGCCTGGTCTCAAACATTGCTTGTTTCAGCATGTGAGACACACAGCAGGGGATGTACTGCCTCCACATGATAGAGATTTCTTTCTTCTTCTTTTACATCAAAACCAGTGCTATGACATTGGCAGAAGCACAACTCTTTTCTGCTGGCCTCCAGCAGTTTGCTCCGTTGTGCAGAGCTCTGCAAAGTGGCTGGTAGTGGCAGGGGGTTCAGCAGCCTCCTGCAGTGTGCCCCAAGCTGCTCACAAATGTCAGGGGGGTGCAGCCATTGATCATGCCAGGGCAGAGTTCTTTGGTCCTGCCTGGTTTATTTCTAAACAACCTGTTGCAACTATGAAAGCACCAAGTAATAGGTATGATTTAAAGCAATGAAGGAGGACAAACAGCTTCAAATGGCATCATGTTGCACTTAATATGTCACTCCCTGTTTTTAAGTGGTTTTACTTATTTTGTTGTGATGATCAGGGCACTTCCAGCCTCAGGTTTCCAAGCTTCACTTTTCCAGAATTTTGGATGGGTGACCCATCCATCTCTTTTTCTTAAAAGTTTGAGCGAATCTGGGAATTTAGATCAAATCAGGAGTAGCCCTTTAATAAATGCTGATGTACCAAAGCAGCCTTAGCAATGCATGTACGGAGTTGAGTTTACCTCTGTTACTGAGTTCTCCATTTATGCCCATCCATGAGGATGTAATCTCAGCTAACCACTTTACAAATGGTTTTGTTTTCCATTCATATGTTAGCCAGCTGCACAAAAATAAAACAACTGGTCTCAGCTTGTAGGAGTTTCTGATGCAGATGCTAGGTTGGATGTGTGTGTCAGTAAGGATGAGGAAATTAATGCCTCAAGCCCATATGAAAGACACGCTGATCAAAATGTTCTTTCCTACAAGCTTTCATAACAGCTGCATCAGTTGGGAGACTGCAATTGAAATATTCTTGTGTAAGTCAGTAAATTATTACCAACTGGCAAATGTAACACTGAGTTGAGATAGTAGTACTGTTATCTACTCTGCTGAATCTGCCCCCTTTTTCCTCCCACTGGCATTACCCCATCGATATCCTGATGGTCAGAAGGAGGCAGTGGAAGCAGCACAGTAAATGTGTCCATTAATATCTGTTTTGTGAAGTGCAACAGTGTAATATAGACAAGGCAACTGAATCTATGAGAGGTTTCTCCTCTAAGAAGGCTGGATAGGCTTCACCTGGAGGTTGAAATAAAAACTTATTTTATTGTAATCTATTTGAACAGTGAGAATGCTCTCTTGTGTTTGAAAATTTTTCTTACTCTTGTTATGGTTTTAAAAATTAACTGTAAAATAATGCATATTAATTAAAAAAACACACTAAATGAACAAATTAATTTATCATTTTTAAAGGTGACTGGCTAAATGAATCACAAAATTCTGAATGTAATTTAAAAAAATTTAAAAGTTCCTTTCAGTGGAATTGTTTTGTTTTTAGAGCAACTTCACCCCTATTGCTATTTGAATAAGTAAACAAAAACATGCTGTTCCTATGTCCTAAGCATGCTGTTACCCAGCTAGCTTTCAGCATATTGCACTTGGCTACAAAATGCTACACACAAAAAAATCCAGAAATATTTGCAAGATAAGCCAAAAACACTCCCAGAATTTCCCAGTGTTTGTCACAGTGTTTTAGCTTAAAAAGTAAGTTATCTGTTCTCTTCAGATGTATGAGGTTTGAAGACTTCTCTCCAGCAGATTTGCCTGTGCAGCATGGCAGCTCCCTTTGCATCAGTAGCTTGCCTCTTGGAAGGGGGAAGAGCAGTGCAAGGGAAACTAAAGCTGCTTTCTGCTGATGGCTGCTGGTTGACCCATAACCCACTTCACACTACATTTGCTCTTTTACAGGTAGGGCAGAAAACATTCAGGAACTGAACTTCACTCCTTGCTCTCATCACATGAGAAATTGCATCCAGAAAAAAAATTAGGCAGAAGAGGCACCAACTCCTGCAAATTAATTCACTTTTTATTCATGGGAAGAATCATCAAGGTCAGCTTAGTTTTACTCAGGAAGACTTTTTTTTCAATATCTGGTCTTTTTCTCCTCTATTAGGAGCTTGATTTTTTTAAGCTGCCATGCAACATATCTCTCTGTTCCAACTCTCCTACTTGAAAGGGTTATAAAATCGTCTTTGTCAGATTTCCATGAATGTCTGCTTCAAAGTATTATGGGAATTTGTTTAAAATTTCATTTTATACCCATTACTGTAAGGTTCTCAGATTCCAACCCTGGACTTCTAAGCCCCTTTAATCAGGCTAGGAGCAAAAGAGCTGTTACTAATACCACTCTGTGGAGTCCCTTGACTACTGGCATAAGGCACAATTGTCTGTCCTATGTATGGAGATTGTTAGGTAATTGAAATATCTTTATTCACAAGAGTTAAAGAACTGGATTTTCCTTTTCTAACTATTTACCTTGCAGACCAAGTGGAGGAAAGTAGGTCATTTATAGTCAGTTCCCTTTCAGTCCCTGACCATTCCTCTTTCCCTGCTGTGCTAGGAAGGTAGTGGTGTTTGACTGGAAACTCAGTGAGGGGAAATTTGGGACACACACACACACAGAAAAAAGGCAAGCCAAATAAACATCAGAGAACTTTTTGAAAAAAACAAACAAGCTTTAATAAAATATTACTCAGGCTTGAATCAGAAATCTGTCGATAAGGAAACGAGCTTCTGTCTGTCACCTGTCATAAAGAATTAGTCTTAGAGCAATTAAATGGTAGATAATAACATCCTACGTTTCCTTACTGTTTTAAATTTCAAGTCTTGAGAAGGTAAGATGAGGCTTCAAGCCTTTGCACAGACATGAGTTCATCCCTCAAGAGTAGTGCAGGATGCCTTTACTCAGGCTACCTAAAAGCATGCTTGGGTGAATGCGTGTGCAGAAGAGGTCTCTCATGCTGTGCAGGCCCATGGCCAAATCCACAGACCTTGTACAGTATCTAGGTGGTTTTACAGCAGGAGAGCCTGGGGAGAAGGTAGGCTGGTTGGTTTGTTGATTTGTGCTGACCTGCTTGCCCTTGAAGGGGTGATGCGTCAAACACTCTCATACTGTCAGTGGCACAAAGAGGGGCCATGCTCTGATGCTGTTTTTCCCACCTACCAGCATCACCAGCCTGATTTCAGCTCCTGCCCCTCCTGAAGACAATGTGGTGCCTGTGTGGGTGAGCACAGCTGCAAGCCAGCCTGCACCCATGCCCTCTGAGAACCCCACAGCTCCCGATGGAAGCCTGACTCACAAATGTACTTGTCACGTCATACTAAACATGTCTTGCCATACTGAAAAGGCCACTGGGAACCCATGAAGCACCGTGCTCAGGCACTGCCCCATGGAAAGAGGAAACTGAGCCCTTGCCGTATCAGAAGGGTGGCAGTGTGACTGGCTTTGCAGCCACATGGTTGATAGCAAAATGCAAGGCTATGGATAACCCATGTAATATTTACCAAAATATCTTGCTGTGCAGAGCAAGTTTCTGATGTACTTTCAGCTTGCTCTGGTTTAGGCCTCTGTCTGTACATGCTTAACTTGGAGAGAAAAAAGCAAATGAATGGGGGGGAAAAAAACCACCTTGCACAAGCACAGGGTGAAAAAAAAAATTATCTGTAAGATTTTGTGTTGCATAAGTGCCCCTGGAAATAATCTGGTACATCTCCAAATAAAACAGAAATCTTTTAAGTTTCTGTGTGGAATGACAGTAGTTTCTATGTTTGTTAACTCTGTAAATGTTTGCTGTAGATACTATCAATGAGGATATTTTATTTAAAGGAATGTACTAAAGTTTAAAGCAAAGAAACTCCTCCCTTAGCCTGTGAACACAACAACTACAACAATTAGGTAGTAAAAACTGAATTGAAAGTAGTCTTAGGTGTTAAGCTGTGCATTTTATAGATGAACTGGAACAAAAACATGTCCAGGCGCACAGCATACTCTGGGTTGGATGAGGAGCTCTCACTGAAAGCCCCAGCAGTCGGCAAACACCAGCCAGAGTTTTGTCTGAGGTACAGCCCGTTATCGCCGAATGACTGGTTTTCTGTGTTGTGGAGGTTTGAAGACTTGGTGGTGGCTCACCATCTTCTTTTACTTGGTATCATGTGCTGGTTTGGAGAACAGGAGAAAGACCCCCTGCACTACCCTCAGACTCTGATCCCCACTTCAGCCTTCTTTAGCTCGTTCATTTCCTCAGAGTTTGTACCGGCAAGGGTGTTGATGATGAGCAGCATAAGCTGCTAACACCGTCCCTTCTGCAGAGCACAGCAAGTCTCATCATCCAGCAGGAAGAATAAAAACATAATGCTATGAAAATGGAAATGGTTAGGTCTCCTCGGACTGGAACAACATTACAGCCTATATTTGGTGTCAGATTCCGGTATGGATTAAAGTAGCCCAAACTTCTGGTCCACAGTCAAGTGAATATAGGAGAGAGATTGGAATAGCTGCACAAAGGCTTGCTTCCAAGTACAACTAATTCAAATTTATTATTCCCATACTGTGAAAAATTCCAACATCTACTTAAGTTTTTCTTCTGATGGGGAATTTTAAAATGTCTACATTTCATTTCACTTTTTCCACCAAAGAAAAAGCCTGCTAGCAGGAAGCCTATCAGGTTGCCAAAAGCAAGTCATTTGACATATGAGGTTTTTTTAAAGCTCCTGTCCAGCCAAAAGTTTTTTAAACCATGTTTCCATAGGACAATTGTAGAGATGAATCTTTCTTTTTCAGTGAAACATTGTTGCACTGACTAACTGGAGTTTAGATCTTTGTAGAATACATGCATTTAAATGTGTCTAAAAAGTTTACTGTGTGTGCTTGGACCAAGGACTTCATTGGCATGCCACAAGAGTTACCCCAGATTAACAGCAGCAAGGCAGGAGGTTTGAAATGTGGAAGCTTGTAATCACTAAAAGGAGACAAACTGTCATCTTGTTCAGCTAATATTAAGTATTGATCTGTCTATACTTATTTTATATGAAGAAAGAGAGGATACTTCCGCCAAAATTTCCAAAGATGCTGGAAGATGATGTACTCAATAGGTTGTAAGATAAACCCACATGTAGTTTTGAGTGTTCTTAGAAACTTGCTGATTTTAAATGGATTTTTAAGTCTGATGCCATATGATGGGTCTTATGTTCCAGGAATTGCTAGCGTCCATGAAAAAGCAAGGAGGCCATGGAATAATAATTGTCTATCCCACATTACATATATGACTTTTACAACCACATATTTTAAGGATTTCATCACAGTCTCTTGATCCCTTTCTGAAGCCCTTTATGTCAGTAAGAAGCAGAGCTTGCCTTGACCTCCAGAAAGGAGCCTCTGCTCATAAGTGGTGGGCACTTTACCTTCTTCCCTTAGAGTCAGCAATATTTGGACTGTAGCTGCAGAGGGGTGATTGAGGGAACCATAGGGACTATAGTTTCTCCTATCTTTGGCTTCATTTCCAGAGATGCCATGGAACCTGTGTTCCCTTGAGTATTGAATGCCAAAGGTTGTAGATCCAAATGTTCGTGACCAGAACCGGAAATGTTGCTCTGAGCATGCCATCACAGCATACACCTGTATTTTGGCTGGCTGTAACAGGGAGATGGGAGAAGAGGGCAATGTAAGGAGGGTAATGAGGTTTTCAGTTTACAACAGATATTTGTATATAAAGGTTCAACTTAAGACATTGCATAAGAAGGCCATTCATCAACTGTACCATGGCATCTAACCATCCTCCAAACTACAAAACCACTTATTTTACCTGTTAAATTCTATAGTATTATACTTTGTTTATTTTTGTGTTCTGCAAAATATGAAAGAGTGCAAAAGTATTACTCTTGTTTGCATAGGAACCAAACCAAAACAAGTCCTTTCCTGACTCTGTTTTCTTTGCCTGGTCAGGCACTCCAGGTGAGGGCATGTGCTCCTTTCATATCTTGATTACAGCAGTTCTAGAAAAAGCAGCATGCACAGTCCTGCAACTTTGGAGAGATTAGGGCTATTACAGGTGAGTCCTATTCTGTTGCTTGTCAAACTGCTAAATGGAGCCATGCAATGGGTCATTTATCTGGTGTCAGCAGCTGAAACTTGCATGAGAAGGAGCTGTTTCTAGCAGTGACAAAAGGAAGCCTATCACAAATGTGTAAAACATGCATGTAACCCAAAACCTTGTATTTCTATTACTGTTAGAGTGTTGCTCCAAGAACCAAATGAAGTCATGGATGTTGTTTTGGCGATATCTTAGCTTATGATACGTCAGTGCTTAAAATTAATTTATATAAAAATTAAACAGCACAAAAGTGTTTTAAAGTTGTTGTAGTGCCAACGGCAGGTCAGCAGGGTGTGAGTGGTGTTCCTGTGTCTCTGGATATCCTGGGTGTGTAAAATACACAGGGTTCTGTGGCACTCTGGCAATATCCTTTCCACACCTCAGAGACGCATCACCTGTTGTTGACCCAGGCGTCAAAGGGTCAGCTGCCAACACAGATAACCACTGTCATTCCCACTGCTGATGGGGAGTTGTCACTGAGATGCTGCCAACCAGATTTGCAGAGGAAGTTTGCTGGGTTGTTGAGATCCCCAGTCTCTTGACCAGTAGCTCAATGCACATGTTGTTCAGAGCTGTTATCTTGCAGTGTTACACAGTTCCAATAAAGCACATTGCAACTACATTAGTGGTGTATTTTGACAAAATCTTTCAACGTGAAGCATAGTTTAATCCAGGTAAGATTAAAAATCTTTCCAAAATATATATATATATTAAAAAATATATAAAAAAGAGGAAAAAAAACCCCAAAACTCACCGAAAGAGATGCACTTTTTTCTCATTCAAGGACAAGGTTTTGTTACCCACATAGATGGTGGGGAAAAGTAGCCTCTTTTCTCTTGAGCTGTTGTGAGCTGCCATGCTGCAGGAGGGATGTACTTGCGCTAGGGAAGATGTGCATAGATGGTGTGGGCTGCCCAGCATCCCATGGTGTGCAGAAGAAGGGGAAGTATCAGTCTCTCCTAGCTGTCTTGTGTGGCTGTACTGCACAGAGTAGCTCTGTCACCTGGTAAGGGAAGCCTTTTCCAATTAATAATCCACCCCAAAGCTGCCATGCTTACTGAAATCATGTATGCTCCTTTACCTTGACAGATTTTGAACTTATGCTGAAGACAAGCATAACACACGCCTCCCTGTCACTCTCCAAGTGCTCTGCTTGCACACTCCTGGGAGCTTTGCACTTGCTCTTTATAAGCAGCACTGAAAGTCAGCAAAGTCCTGGGGGAACAACAAGAACCGAGCAGCTCTTGTCGGCAACAGTGTTTGGGAAGGGTAGGAAAAGATCCAGTTTTATCTTAGTTCTCATGGAAAGTGTCACAGGATGTTTAATGTCCTTTCTGAGCAAAGACCTGCTGTTTTCCAGATCTTGCCTGAAAACACATGCAGTATTCAGCAAGCCACTTAGTTTATCTTTCTTGGATAAACAGAAGGCTGCTGGAATTTGAAACTTGTTCCAAGAGTCTAGGGTCCAAATCTCTGTGAGTCCTTCCCCTGGTCTGGGGTTTTGAACTGAGTTTGAAAATTTAAAGACTAGCAAGTGATGGCAGCATGACTCCTAATGGCGTATGGGGCATGCAGGGTTGGTGTATGTGACAGAGGGCCATCCCTGTGCTGAAGTTTTGGTGTTATTTCCACTCTCGAGTGTAGCCTGACTTTGCAACAGGTTAAAAATACTTTATGAAATGCCTGAGAGCACTGATCCACAAATCCCAGTACAGACTTTGCCTCGATTGGGTGGGGGGGGGGGGCGGGAAAGCCCTCCTAATGCGATGAAAGCACCCGTGGCACTGGTGAGACGCGCTTTTCGCTTTTCTTGTCGCTGAAGGTACCACGAAGGAGCGACTCCGATGGCACCTTGACGGACCGGGCGAGGGGAAGCGCCCGGCAGAGCCCACCGGGGAGGGGACCCGGTCGGTCAGGTGGGCGGCCAAGGAAGCTGTGGGGTGCGGGCTGAGCCGAGCCCGAGCCCTTCTCCGCCCGCTGCGCTGGGGGCCGCGGTCACCGCCGCGCCGGCACCACCCGCCCCGCGCCCGCGGAGCCGCCGCCCCCCAGGCAGCACCGGGGCTCCTGCCGGCGCCGCAGCCTGCAGGTAGGGGCTGTGCGGGGCCGCGGGGCTCGTCCCGGGAAAAGCGAGGAGGGAGACGGGGAGCGACCCCGCGGGGGAGCGCGGTCCGGGGGCGCGGAGCGGGGCGGGCAGCGCGGACGGCAGCGCTCCGGCAGGGCTTCAGCCTGGCCGCTCCCGTGCCCTGCCTTAGAACTGCGGAAACATTGGGAAATAAATGAAAATCACTTTAAATGCCACTGTTAAATTAAGAAACTGTATCTACGTGGATACATATATATATATATATAAAGAGATGTTGGTAAGGTGAGATGCTGGTCAGTTAAAGAATAAACAGCGTTTCAAGTTGCTAGAGGTATGAGGAAACTCAATCATCTTTTATTTCTGTTGCATAAACAGGATAAGTGTACCTGTTCAGAGGCGGGTGCGAGAGGCTGTGCTTTTCCTCATCGCCATCCCCGTGCGTGCGGACTCGCGGCTGTCAGCGGGATCCCCACGGCTGTGTGTGTGTGTGCGAGAGGTTCCCAGAAGAGCTCCAAAAACCCAGGCTCAGACTGCTCAGTGACAGGCTAGAGAGCTGGCTTGTGGCCTTCCCCAGGAATAGTCAGCTGCGGAAGTAGGTAATCACAGTGATCCTTATCCTGAATGGCCTTGATATTTCTTCTGGGATATTATTATAGTTCATTTCCAGGAGAATTCTTAGTCCGTTGTAGGACTTAGCCAGGTGTGCAGTAATTGGCTCAGGCTAAATGGTATTGTTGGCATGCCTTGCAGGAAATTTTGTGTTCACAGGCTAAGTTCAGGGAAACTATCCAATGAAAAAAAAAACTGCCCAGAAATACGAGTATTATCCTTATTTAGAATTTTCTGATAATTTGCCATTCATTTATTGATTTGTTCTGTTTAATATCTCTGGGAGTAAGTAATTAATTAGGTATTTGGGATGAGGTTGGGTTTGTGTGATTTCTGACTGAAATGATTTCATTAAGTTAACAAGCTGGTTGGGGCAGTGAGTATGTTTGTTGTTGTTAGTCTGCTCCTGCAGTGGCAATGAGGAAACGTTTCCGTTAGTGCTGGGAAATTGGAGGATAACTTGGAACTTAATGAAGTGAAACAGGATTGCAATTTGCTCAGAGTGATCCTATTATGCCTGAGTTAGGGCCATGTTATTGCTCACCTCATATCATTAGCTGTTATTGCCTTTTCACATCTGTTTTTTTTAGCTATATATAGGTCATTATGTGGTTTTGGTTCATATTTTTTCAGTTGTATTATTTTTGGTTTTTACTTTTCCATCTTTTGCAGTTCTGTTTTAATGGAAGGTTTCTCTGGGCTTAGGGGTTTCCATGTTAATCCCTTTAAAATTCAATTGTTAACTTCTGCCTTAACCTCAAGCTGGAAAGTGACAATGAAAGATAATATAGCACAGTGTGTAATTTCATTTTACAGAGTTTTGTCAGAATCAATTCAACTGATATATAAACAGGAGAAACCTCAGGAACTTTCTTTTTCCCCCAGCATGCACATTCACTTCAGCTTCAGGCTGTACACTGTTTACCTGACAAGTGGCTTGCTACAGGATGTCTCCTGACTGGATTTGCTGAGTTGGTTCTTGTCTGCAACTGTGAGGAAGGGGACTAGGACAGCCCCAGGGATCCCTTCCAGATCTGTATTCTCAGGCCAAGGTCCTACAGACAGGGCACAGAGGGGGAAGATTTTTCAGATGTTTTGGTGCAAACACAATTGCTTCCCGAGGGACAAATTTGGCATGTGTTTCCTGAGAGAACCGTGCTAGCGTAAGCAGCCCCCTGCCACCCTCTGAGCTGTGCTAGTACAACCATTTGTGGGGCTGGTGGTGAATTGCATTGGGGGAACTGCAGTGGGCTCAAAAGCACCTTTTCTTCCTTTTTATCAATTACTTTTAACTCTGAATTGTCTGACCGTGTGGCTGCTGTGTCAGGGCTGAGAAGGTGACCGGGAAGGAGGGAACGTGTGGCAGGGAGCAGGAGGTAAGGGCTGTTTCTGCTGGCATCACTGCTGCTGAAAGAAGTAATTGCTTATCAAATTGTGGTTAGTGGTAGATGACATGTGGTTAAGGCAGTTGCCTGCAAAACACAGCTGAATGCTCAGATATCTCAGTCGTGTGCACATGCAGTTGGCTGTATACACAAAGATCTGATTCTATGTTTCCATTGTAATTCTGAGTTTTCACCTAATGATTTTACTTTTGTGATGTATATCTGTGAGTGTAACTTCAGGATACATTCTCTATACTACTCTCTCTTCTAGTATGAGCATTTCAAAAGACCATTTTTCTGGAAAATAGACCTAGACATCATCAGGCTATGTTATTAATCAGATCATATTTACCTGGATAGGTGAATACCTAAAATTCTAAAGGGGAAGATTGAACCACCCCTAAAAGAGTGCCTCTGGTCCTAGAGCATAATTGTCACCTGTACTCTCTTTTAGATGTATATAAAATGTTAAATATACTTTTGAATGTAGTGTAGACCTGTGAAATTATGAATGACAGAAATGATGAGGCGAATAGCATTTTTAATTGGTATGGTGAGACTGAGAAGTCAGTGGAGTGTAAGCTTGCTATAATCTGCTATTTATTTTAGTCTGGAAAGCATTGATGCTTTTGTGCATTGTTTTAGGACTTGTTTTCATTCCTACTTTAGATAATTTGTTTCTGTCATGATCCTATTGTAGCGAGTAAGAAATCACTCACAGCACATTGTCTATGTAGCACGTGTGCATATTTAGAGAATGGTGGTACGCTCTCTTGTTCGCAGAACTTGAAGGACTAATTACTTTCTATGATGGTCTTTATTCAACAGAGAAAAAACAAAGGCCTTTTTTCTTCCAACCTAAACCAAGAAACTATATAGAAGTTAAGAAAAATATCTTACCTTTACTGATTGTCCTGTGGTGGGTCACTACAACTGCAGTTTGGATTATCTGTAGAGTTTCATGTAGATTTTTAAAAAAAACAGATTAAAAAGTAAAAATCTTAATTTTATCATTTTTTTCTAAGAGGAAAGGTGTTTCTTGCCAGCAGCCTTATGAGAGCCAAATACATAATTTATGAGCTATATTGTTGCTTGTATTAATTGACATTCATTGATGTGACTGTAAGCAGTAAAACTGCAAGCTACAGCTTGCCTGCAGGAGGTGGGCTCCCAGCCTGCAGTATGGAGAGATTTGGAAAGGTACAGTTTCTAAAAACCAAAACTGTAGACATCCAAGCTAATAACTCAGTTTTTTGTTACTGAAAATGAAGGTGTTTCCTATTCAGCTTATTGAACTGCAAAGATAGCTCTGTTTTCCTCTCTGGAAGCTGTCTGAACTTGCTGTGGTGTGGGATGTGGAAGAGCTGTTGCCAACAGGACTGTACGCCGGGTCAGCTGCTCTGGATGAAGATACCCATGTGAAGACTGTCTTTTATTGGATTGGCTCCTTGTCTCTCTTAGGCTTGTAGGATTCTGGATATACCTACATACAGGGCAAGCTATGATCTTCCAAATATGAAATCTTTGTTGTTCAGGTTCCTCATCCTCCTGTTTTTGCAAGAAGCATTCTCCGTTTTCAGTACTGTAAGGTGGGTGGTGCTGTGTGCCCAGCTGCTCAGGTGACACTTCTCTGGCATGGTCATAGACACCGTGGTAGCACAGCTCAGGAGCCCACAGAATTCAGGGATAGCCAGAAGGCACTTACAGTATCTTTCCTTACACTGTAAAAGCAAAATCCATCACTTTTGTCTGCACAGCATTTTAAGCTGTGCAGGCCCCTGAGGCAACAGATCCGCATTTCAGCAGCAAGATAACTTATTAGTTGTTAAGATTAGCCAGCAATTTGTGGCAGATTTCTTCCCCAGAGCCTGCAGCAGCTGGGAATTGTAGAACTGGCTCGAGGGGATGTGACAATATATTTTATTAGTGAGTGGGGTTGATCTTAGTCTTCATTAGTAAAACTCTGTTGGTTCCTTTGCATATAGCACAAACGCTACTGAATAGTTGTTTCTCAGCTGCAGTTCAGTGTTGGAGAACTATAGGTTATCCAGGATATTCTTGCTGCTTTTCCTTGGGACTTGAAACAAATGGAGCAGCACTTTTTGTTGGTATTTGGTTTAGATGTGATATTTATTAGTTTCTCCTTGTTTCATTTGATGGGATAATGGAGTGAGAAGGCAGTAAATGAAGTAGTCTTCAGTGTTTGTGATTAGACAATATCACCTGTTTTCTGTAGAAGGATTGTTGGTCTCTTTTTTTCCATTTCTGATGTTTTATTGTAAGATGATTTTGTGGGCTTTAATGTAAGTGCTGTCTCAGAGCATTATGTAAATAACAGAGAAGAATGAAGCAGCTGTATTTTTTTATGTGTGTTTTATGTCTTATTTATGTGGGGGGTGTACACCCACACTTATATGCACCAGGGTTACATAGGCTTACATTTTGCATCAACCGGCAAGTTGCTAATGCATTTAAGTGAATAGGATTAAAAATTAATGTAAAAAACAAGGCATCTGAGATAATCCAGGCTTTTTACTATTAAATAATATTTTTTTACCTTTTCTGCTTCCCCAGAATCTATTCAGTTTCTGGGGAATATTGCCCTTGAATGCTTTTTGAGTGGTAAGTACATTAGTTGCTGCTAGAGGATTGTCATAAGGGTCCAGAAATAATGATAATGGGCAGTCCTAGACCATATGTGGCTTTTTATTTATAATGCACATTATCATTTTTTTTAACTTATTAGCAGATAATTTATGGAGAAACAATTTGTCACCCTTTTCCTTCCAACTCTCCAAGCTTTTTGTGCAATCTGTGGGTGCCTGGGAATTACAGATTTTTCTTCTGCTAAGTGAGAGCTGACCTGTCCCTTGTCAGGAGAAATGTCTCCTCTGGTCCTGCCATTTGGTAATACCATCAAAATTATATCCATATCTTGCCAAGAGGCATAATCAAACTTCTGGGATTCCTCAGCTATCACAGTTTGCCAGTGTACTTGCCTACACACACCATTTATACTTAATTTTTTCTGGGGTAGCAATGTACCTCATGTTTGGAAGCTTCTCTTAAATTCATTTAAAGGATTAGGTAAGAGTGCAGATGAAAATATGGTAAAAGAAATTTCAGTTCTTCATTAAAAAGTCAGAAGCAAAGTTCCTGATAGGAGACAAATAGAAAAAGAAAACATTTTATTGGGATATTTAAAAAATCAAAGTAATTTCCCAGCCATTGCAGAAGATCCTAGAGGCAAGTTTTGAGTACAAAACCAGAGATGATGTTTTAGCTAGGAATCACCAAACTCCTGCATCCCCTTTTCTGAATAGAACCTAAAAGTATTTCTGAAGTTGGGAACTCAGCTCCTCATCTTCAGTCCTCAGCAGGACAGTGCTGACCTCTTTCTCTCCTTTTGTTCAAGAAAGGAAGTTTCCCACCTTTCACTTCCTCCCCCCCTCCCCTTAACTCAAAGCTTCCTTCCTTTCTGCAATTTCTGGATTTCTCCCAGTGATGATGGGATGATTCATATTTCCCCAGATGTGAAATGTTAATGTGGGAAGTGGGATCTTTCTTCTGCCTCTTCAGGGGTTTCTCAGAGCCTGTGCTGC